CCTCCAGAAATCCAGAGATAATTTGTGTAGTGGAGTATCATGGGTCTGTGTGATCCTCTAGAATAAGGGGAGGCCTCCAGATATAGAGACCTCTCCAGGAGTTGATTCTCCATCTAGTCTGTAAACACTTCTGAAAATAGTTGAAACCCTTACGGTTTTTTTTTGGGGGGGGGGAGGTACAATAAAAACTATAGGAGTTCCACAATAGATTTTTTTCTTAATGTTTAGGTTCTAATTTTTAAATTCTATATAAGAATTATTAATGAGCATATTTCTTGCCAAATATCCATAGACATTAATCTAAAAGAATGATGTTTTCTTTTTCCACTAGGTTTTTGCCACAGAGGGTTTAAAGCTTACTTCGAGTGTACAAGCTTTTTCAAAACAGGTAACACATGTCTTCCTGCCTGTGCTGGTGGTGATGACATCTACTTTGGGGGTATATTTCTAAGGTATAAAGGTAATTAAGGTGTAAAAGGTGGAGTTTTGGTGGGGTTGTTTTAAGTTTCTAAATTACATTTCAGCTCAAAGATGATGACAAGCTTATGCTTCTTCTGGAAATAAACAAGCTAATTCCTCTATGCCACCAGCTCCAGACAATAACTAAGACATCTTTGCAGAATAAAGTATTTCTGAAGGTAAAAGAGAGGGTGGGTTGTTTAGGTAGACACTGAGAAACTTCCACACTTTTATCTTTATCAGATTAGCTCTAGCCCGTTTCTTCAACTGAAGTATTGCTACCCACTGAAGGGCAATTTATTTCCATTTTTTATGGCTTGTCTGCAAGAATTAAACATATAAAAATTTTTTAACCATAATCTCTTGTCCAAAAGAATCTTTATTCTCTGCTATTCTAAGTGACCCCAGGAAGCATCAGGTTCACCATATAGATTAGCTTTTTGGAAGTATTTAGTTCCATAGTAATGAGAACCTTTAAAAAATCCTCAAATTCTGAGTCTTCCCCTGTTTAACTAGGGCACAAATGCCTCTGAGTCTGGGCTTCTGTAATTTGTCTGAAGGAATATGAGCTTATTGCCTGCAAAGCAGAGTGTAAGGAATTGCAAAGTAGGGGATTCAGTGCCACTATTTAGAATATTTTGAAGAGTCCTAAACATCCTGAGATAGAACATTTGATTTTCTACCTATCAACTCGAGGAAGACCTCGAGTTTTGTGAAACAGGCCTGACCCCAGCACCTATGTCCTGGGCTCTCAAGTTGGCACTTGTACCCTAATCTGTCTACTTTTCAGGATCCCTTAGATTACCATGGGAGAGAAATTTTATCATTTTAAAACTAACTGATAAAATGGGTCTTTTTGTTTTGAAACACTACTTTCAGAATTTGATTTGCATGCTTTCTGTCACTGTAGGTTGACAAGTGTATTACAAAGACAAGATCCATGATGGCTCTCTTGGTCCAACTTCTTTCACTTTGCTATAAACTGTTAAAGAAGGTGAGGTAGTTTTTCTATTTTAAACTCATTTTTTTTTTAATTGAAGGAAAATGCAAAAGAAAATAAGTAAGTTACTACTTGATTTTGCAACTGTTCCCCCCCCCCCAGTAAAACAGAAACTAATTGTCTTAACTCTTTCCAACTTCAGGTGGAAAATAACGGATGGGTCTCAGTTACAAATAAAGACACCATAGACGGTAAAACTTGAGAAGCTTTTGGGATCAGATCACTGGAACATCATGTAGAAAAGCCTGACATTTTTAAAAAGCAAAAGATCCTTTGTCTTTTCAGAAATTCAACAATTTCATAAAGAAAAATCTATAATTCTGCCTTATTTTCTAATCATGAAACCTCTTGTGAAGCTTTTGGAGAACTAATAAATACCATGGTAGTTGCTAGAATTCTAATTGCAATGTGATTTTAAAATGGAGTATTGCACTAATGTTCTTTAAAAGTCAAACCAAATATCCCACTGTCTTAACGACAGCGTAATCCAAAGAAGCTGTTTTGAATATGTGCTCACTTTTGGCATACCTTCCCTTTACTGTTTTATTTAAGTCTATCATCTAGAACATTATAATTTCAGTAGAGAATGTATAGTCATCTGGGTGAATGCAGGGTTCCCCTTAAGCCTATGGAGTCTTCTTCAATCCTTCTGTTCACCAAGCATGACAAGGGCACCTCTGATGCCCCCGTCACAGATCATCCATGCTATTAGCGAGTTTCACACAGCAAGGCTCATCAGTTGTGTTTTTTGTGTCCCTCCTCTACACCCAACAGCATGGAATCCTGGAGCAACTCCTAGAGCATATGAAATGGCTATCTTCTGGTTCTAGTTCTAGTGTAGCTGCCAGTCTGCCTGAATATTAGCTGCAATTCTAAGCCTATCTTTTTGGCTTAAAAAGTTTGAACTATCCTTCTTAGTGTTGACTGATGGAATGGAAGATTGAAAAAGAGAACGATGGAGTCAAGAAGCTGTTAAAATTCTGAATAATCATGTATTTTATATATGTGGCTTTGGATTATTCATTATAAAACAAATAAACATCTTTCTTTAGTATTTTTAATAGTAGGGTTTAAAGCTTTTCTTTGGGGTGGGGTTTTGATCACAAGATCTGGTTTAGAAGTTTTCTCCTTATGATTTAGTAATATTTTAGACTCTTTTCGTGATGTTTGTATCCTAATGTTTGGACATTCATTTTGAAATCAATGGGACGTGTGAAGTACCAAATGTCAGTTGATATGTAAACTTGTCTGATGATCTTTAACTGGGTCAGTCATCACAATCAGTATTCACAAATTCTCAAGAACCATAGTACTACCAATTAGCTAGTCAATTTTTAATTAAAAAACTTTACCATAGTCCAAGGAAGAGAATGGGATGCAGATGCACTCAGCTTGGTTAATGACATTTATAAAACTCTTGTTTAAACAGTCAGAATCATAAAGCATAGTTTTTATTCTCTGAAACCAGAATATTCTTTTAAAATGCAATGAAAATGATAATCTCTACATGGTATGAATTGTTAAAAAGACTACAATAGAAATGAGAGAATGATGTGAGGTAATACTATGTGTAAAATATATATTATTCTTTTACAAAGCTATCTTTATGGTCTTCAAGAATCATTGTGTTACTTGAAGTGG